CACTCCCCCGTCCTCTGGGTTCCTGCCGGTGCCCAAGGCTGCGGGCAGTCCGGACGCCGCGGCCGGCACAGCGCTGTGCTGGTTCCGGGCGCCTGAAGGGAGCACCAGTTCTCCGCCGGGCAGGCTGCGCCGGGCTGTGGGTAACCCCTTCCCGGTGTGCGTGCTGCCGGTCCCCTCCCTCACCTGTGGGAATGAACGTCTCCGGGACCCTCGGTGCCGTCTGCATCTGCCGGCTGCTTCTCGGGTGGGGGAGGGAGGATACTGCCCCTGCCTGTCCCGGCCCTTCTGCCGTTCCTGTTAATTTAAATATCCTTATCGATGCTGAATTCTCCTTATGACACCGAATAACAATACTATGTTTTTTTTTTTGCAGTGGACCGCAGTTCGAAGAGGAGACAAGTGAAGCCTTTGGCAGCTTCGCTGCTGGAAGCTTTAGATTATGATAGCTCTGATGACAGTGATTTTAAAGTTGGAGATGCTTCAGGTAAATATGCTTCCTCATCTCCGCTCAGAATTATCTCATTTTTGTCTTATGGTTGCTCATTTAATATTATATGGGAGACAGAATGGTATTACTGAACTGTTGGGACTTGGAGCCACTTGAAGTTCAATGACTCGATTGGATAACTGGAAATTCTGCTGCTTCAGATTATAAACAACTGATTAAACAAAACATCCATACAGTACTTCAGTGGCGCTTAATTTTTTCTCAAGAGAAAACTCATGATTATCAAACAAGTTTTGGCAGAAGCATTTGAGTAGCTTCTGTGCTGACTGCCTTAGCTATATGTATTGCTTTTTATTTCTTCTATGTAGAGCTAATTTCTGAAATATTCACTGTATTTAGTATTGAAATAAGAATGTTCAAAAGCCATTTTGTTTTGAATCAGTCTGGATAATAGTTTGTTGTGGACTTAAAAAGTTGCCTATTTCTCAAGGCTAATTCCATTTGGTGGGTGAAAACCTTAGGCAGAAAGATAATCTATTCAGGTTTTTATTGCTTTTTGCAATAGACTATCTTAAGGTGTCCATTCAGATAGCTGTGCAGAAAGGCATATGCATTTTGTACTAGAAGGAAGATTGGTTTTATTCTGCAGTCTTTTTTATGTGGGCAGGTTCCTGTATCTGCAGTGAACATCCACAGAAACTGAAAGTAAACAAGATGCCAAAATAAAATGAATAAGTTCAAGTACGTTGGAGGGAAGGGAAAGAAGGGGCAGGACCATGTTAGTGTATAAACTGCACATTGGATGTTCTGTGACATATGCTCAGGGAAATAAAGAGAGAGATGCAGGATGTGTAGAAGGTAAGGGAAGCGTGATGACAGTTTGTCAAATAACTTCACTTTGTTATTTCTGCACTGGGGATGCTATTCTGTGTTTTCATGTGAACGTTGTCTTGCAAAACTATTCCCCATCTCATATAAAGGCTTATTTTTTTAACATCTGGCAAGCTCCTCCTTACTGATGAACTTAAAAATGCTTAATAATAATTTCTCCAGTGCCAGTTTTAAAATATGCCCTGATGCTCCTTGCTCCCCCCCCACCCCCGCCAAGCTTAGACCTATTTCCCTTGGTTGGTCTGGTGGAAGCAGACTGCATGACTTAATAGAGTAAAACTGATGTTTTACCAATTTCATGCTAATATTTTCTGGGAGCTTGTTTCATTTACTTTTTTTAAGCTTCTTCTGGAGATTTTTGATCCTTTCTTTTGAGTAAGGGCACTGCCTTTTGTAAACACAATTTACTATGAAAGGAAATTATTTTTAGTTCCCAAAGAAAATCTCCCTATTTTGTAACAGTTGCGTAGGCAGGATTTAAGAGAATAGGAGAATTGGAAATGCAGTATGGGAGATGGACATGTAATTCAGAGCATTATATCATTTGATTAAAAGACAATAATCTGTTAATTAAAAATAATGAATAAAGCTTCCTGACTCAACCATGCCTAAATACAGAGGATTCATTTGCAATTGATATTCTCTTTGACTTTTAGGGTATCATATGTACTTAGCAGGGATCAGTATCTAGCCTTGAGAGTATTTCAATCTGAATTTCATTTTGAGGGGATTGGATAGGTTTTCCCTTAAAAAAGCAACACTGAATTGAAACAAGCATATGAGAAAAACCCAATTTCTACTTATAAAATGTCTTTTGTTTGTATTATAATCTCATATAGCTTTGTTTTAACATCTCAGAAGCTACAACTATTGCTTGTAGTAGAAGTTAATGTTCTGTTTAAATAAAATTTTAAATTTAGTGAAAAAACTTTGAAACAGTAGCAGAGTTTGACATTTTACACTTTACTCAAAGGTCTTCAGTGTGAAAGGAGGAAATTGTGAGGATTTGGAGAAGTTGGGGAATAGAAAGTTATTAAACATATAACCTCTTAAGTTGGAAGAAAAAGGAAACGTTTCTTATGTGTTACAAGTTAAATGAACAGTTGCAGGATATTTGAAACAGAACATCTGTGCTGATTCAAAATGAAGCTGGTATAACATAGCCTTAAATTTGATTGTACGTAGTCTATTTAAATGTGGATAGAAGAAGTGCTGAAATAAAAGGACTTTTTTACAGGTTCACACGCACCCCACTAATAATTTTAAAGTTATATATGTATATAAAAAATAAATGTTTACACACACAAGCATCCCTACTAGCCAGATTCTGGATTGTTGCTAGTAGAAAACAGGTTTTCCTTTTTTTCCACAGTGGATTCAGCCTTCAAAGCACAATGTGTATTTCTCCAGTACAGTCAGGGCTGTTGCTCTTTTTCTTCTTTTAATAGCTGTAGAGGACTTTCCATATGCAGGCTGTTGTGAACCAGTATCTAGTATTTGCCTGAATTCAGAATTTCATTGTGTAGTTCACCTTCAAAGGGAAATAAATGTGACAGAAGGAAGAAGCAATCTTTCTACATTGAAAATGACCATAAATTTTACTTTCGCGCTCAGAAAAGTCCCGTAAGTATGGTAATTCCACAGCTCTGTGATTTATGGTTTTTTTTGATTCAAAAATGCATATATGGGTGTTTAAGAAAAATATTGCAAGTTAAAAGTTAAAGGGTTATTTAAATACTGAATTAAAGGAATTCTGAAGCTGTTTGCTCCCTGTTGATTATATTGCATCCGTATGTATGAGCTTTAGGATGTTATGTGACATGTGCTAGTAGATGTTATTGTGCAAGCCTAGAAGGACTGAGCCCTGAACATTTAAGCTTTTACACATGTTCATTGCTCTGTAAGATTTCTGGGAATATGAGATTCTGTAACGATTTGAGAAGTTGGTATTATGTACTTTTAGGAAGGAATCAGCATTTCTGAATTTTTGTATTCAGAGTCCTGATGCCTTGGTAATTTTTTTTTTATTACAGAAAATATTTCTAATTGCCCAATCTCGATTTCTGCCAAAAAACCCCCACAGAAGATATGGCCTTTACTTACAGTGTAATTAATTTATTTTCTTTTGGATTTAGGTGACACTAACAGGCAGTCCTTTTCCACATGTTCTCATCATTCTGATACCTCTTTAGGGAAACTGATTTTAGAACTGTTTCATTCTTGTAAATTTACTTAATTTAAATAGTTTTTGGGCCTGTGGGCTTTTCATTATGTTAATATTGAATGAAGTAATTTTTAATGGCTTCTCTATTTCTACATAATAGAAGAGAGTAATACCATATTTTATAGTACTGTATTTTTCTGGTTTTTATAAACCTCTTGCAAAATTTGTTCCTTTAGTAAGAATGTCATATGTAATCTTAATGTGGGATCAGTCCAAAGGCCGTCTCTCTGGAGTTAGACCGTGCAAATATGTGACTTAAAATGATGGTACTATAATATACACTCACCTGAAGTTTTTTATATGTTTCACAATAGAAGTCAGTTATTTGAAGTTTTACTTTTAAGTTCACTTTGGGTTTTTTGTTGGTGATTTTTTTTTTTTAATTTTATTTAATGAGAGCAGCTGGAGCTATACTGATGTCAGAAATCAGTGTGTAGTTGAGGAGTAATTCTCAGCAGGATTCCAAAGGAAAGATTTACCACTGTTCTTCTCTCTCATTGGTGAAATTGGTCAGTTTTAGCAGCTCATATGCTGAAACTGAAATGATGCTGAGAAATGTAGTGTGGTACCTGAACAAGAATGATGTCTGTATTTAAGGACTGGCTCCTTATCTCAGCGTAGCTAAGAGGAGCATAGCTGAATGCTGCCTTTAATTCTGTCAGTGCTTCTGCTATAAGTCTCCTAGACTCAAATTTTTAGAGACATTTGTTAATGTTTATTTTCTTGATGTTGAGTATGGAGCCTGACTTGCATAAATATTATGTGCTGTTATTTCCATTGAGGTCAGTGAAAGCTCTGTTTAAAACATGTAATCTATATAAATGCCTGTATTAGGTATTCTGAAAAGCCTGTGACTTGATTTAGAAATAAAAAGTTGCAAATATTTTTATCTTTCTGTAGTTCATTTCTTCTTAGCACAATGGAGACTCCACTTTTGCTTTCCTGTACAGGATATTGTAATATAGAGAAATGTTTGCAAAGCACCAAATGAAAGTGATAAACACTACTGAAATATTGATGGAGAAACTAATACCTTTGTTCTTGAGAGTAAACTTAAATGATATGCAACAGGAAAGTTGCAGGGTGTTTCAGTAGACAGTGAAGGTAAGATAAAATCAAATAACTAATCATTAGTAAGTTATCACATAATTGCACAATCTTAATTGTTACAATCATGTCAGGGCTTGACTTTGCAACTGTAATGTGTAGTCCCTCAGAGTGGAATTCTCAAGGGCTTTTTCCCATTGAGGATATGGAAAATATGGACATTATGTTCTCTTGGGTTATCTTCATCCCGAGTGAGATCTTTCATCCGTACAGATGTCTGCCACTTGAAGTAACACTTTGAAGTGACTGATGGGCATTTTGAAATTGTATTCTCTTTGGAAACATTGAGATTTCTATTTTTCCTTGTGTTTACTGACAGCAGAGGAGTAATGTAAGAGAAATGCTGGCTTTCATTCCAGTGTCTGTGCAGGGGGGGTTTAGTGATGGGGTGACATTATTTTTCTTCGTTTTTCCCTTACTGTGACTCTCTGTGCCTCATCTTTCCAGTCTTGTCTGTCCATTGTGGAACCCTTGCTCATTGGTTTAGAGTAGTAGTTCTGTTTGTTCATTCAGTGTTGAACAAGATTTTCATCATCTCCTACTTTACTACCCCTACTTGACTTTCTCTTGCATCTCCTCTTTTTTTTGGTGTGTGTATGTCCATCTGTAGTGTACTTCCTGCCACGTGGAGAAGGTTCTTCTGGACTTTATGAACTCCATCTTGGTGGGATGATCTGTTTGCAGCCTGGCCACCTCTGAGAGTCTGGATATGCTCAATCAGAATGAGATGTTTCAAGTGATTCTTGAGCATATACTTTTTGCAGTGCTTTCCACTTTCCCTGTGTCAGGATGAAGGCAACCTGTGTGGGAGATTGTACATGGTGTGTAATAGGGTGTTTTAGCAGAGATATGCAGGTAATTTCACATCATCATGTCAAAGATTTATTGCCTGCCTTGTGTTTGGGAAAAAGAGGCTAAGGGACCGCTAGGGAGAGTGATGGTGTTCAAGTGGCTTTAACCTCCAGAAGAATTAACCTCACTTGTCACCTGTTTTTTGTTACCACCATTGAAAAGAGGGTATCCTGAAGCACACTGTGAGTTGGATGTCATCTCACATGATGCCTGTAGATTATTATTAAACAATAGTAGGGATAACTTCAGACATCATAGTTGTTTTCTGTTTTGCATGCTCAGGTTTTCATGTTTTTCACTCCTTTTTGATGTTCTAGGATCCTGGGCTGTATTCTTTGTATGTAGCTTTTAACACCTGGGTAAGACTCAGCCAGGCAGGACTCAGTGCAAAAAAACTTTCCAAAATGCTTCTGATATCTGGTTTAGCAACCTGGTTAGGTTTTGTTAGTGGAAGAAGCAAGCCCAAAATCAAGTCTATGATTTCCTTTAACTAGCTTTTCCTTGAGAATTCACTTGAAAAGCAGTTTTATTGCTTGTTTTTACAGAGCTGCTTGATAAGCTGAATACTACATTGAAGAATCAGCCTGTCGTCTTTGAGTGGGTGGCCATGTACTTATGTAGTATAGCACTTTATACTTTGTATACATGGATTTTCTTAGAATGTTAAAAAAAATAAAATTAGGATGTCACAGGGTACCATGTTTAAAGTTACATGTAAAATGGTCCTGCAAAACCCTTGGAGGATTTTTTTTTTTAACTGCTGTAGTGATTTCAATAGCTTTCCACTGAGGTCTTGTACATAGTAGGTATTATACAAGACTCCACACCTGATGTGGAGATTAGCACTCGATTTTCTTTATTACACTTTTTTCATATGTTAATTATGGGAGCATAATGTTCTGTCCTGGAGAATTCCTCTCTGAATTACCCTCTTTGGATTTGACTGGCACCTGCTGTTATGCTCAGTAGAGCTAAAGATACAAGGTGTACAGAAATAAACAAGATGTACAGAAATGAACGATACCTTTCTCACAACTGTTATCTCTTATATTTGTTCTCAGCGGAGCTCTGTATTCTTCACTGCTTGTCAGTGTATGTGGCCCCATCTTTCACTGAGAGTAGCTTGACTTTCCTCCCATAGGAGTGACATGATCTGGTTGCCAGTTTGAAAGAACCATTCTTAAAGAATTTCTTTCAAGAAGAAAATTGTATACTGCAGCCTCTTCCTAACTGAAGGTGCATCTGACAGAAGAACACCTGCAAAAATAGCTGTTATCACAGAATAGTTCTTTCTGGGAAAGTACATATCACAGTAGATGTGTTCAGACTGAAGAAGGATATCCCTTACTATAGGTATCTCTGGTGTGTACCTACATGGAAAAAGAGTACGAAGCATAATGTGCAGGCGGAAGGCAAAAAGAATTTCAAGGAGAGAAGTGAATTAAAGTAATGTTTATTTGTTCTCTCCTTTATATTCTTTGCATGGCATAAAGCAGCTAGAGAGTATTCTCAGTGCTGTAGTATTGATGTACAAGAATCACTGTTGGTAATTTAGAGTGCTGTTAAAGATCAAACTATATCCAGACTAAGATTCCCCACAAAAATGAAGTGGAGGCTTACATTCACAAGAAGTGTAAGCATATTTAGAAATGGAAGAGCACAATTAAAGCGTCCAGACAGATTACTGTCTTGGAGTTATGGTGGCAAAGTAAAGCAAAATAATATAAGGTAACTTAAAAACCAAGTTAAATTAATTTTAGCATGGCAGAACCTTATACTACCTTATTTACAGTGATACAAGTAGTGCACTTTGGCACTCAGAACCTGTGAAATGAGATACAAAAATACATTTTGCTTTTAAACATACATATGGCATTTAAACTATAGTATTAGTGTCTAGCTTGGCCAGTTACTTGTAAAGTGTTTGTGAGAGCTGGCAAAAATGTCATAGAATGGTTTAGGTTGGAAGGGACCTTTAAAGATTGTCGAGCTTAACACCTTGCCATGTGTAACACCTCCTACCAGACCAGGTTGCCCAAAGCCCTGTCCAACCTGGCCTCCCTTCCAGGGAGGGGACATCCACAACTTCCCTGAGCAACCTGTGCCAGTGTCTCACCACCCTCACAGTAAAGAATTTATTCCTAATGCCTGAATCTACCCACTTCCAGTTTAAAACCAGTCTCCGTTTGCTGTCACTATAGACTGTGGTAAAAAGTCTCTTTCTTATGTGCCCCCTTTATATATCGAAAGGCCTTAATAAGGTTTCCCTGGAGCCTTCTCCAGACTGAACAACCTCAACTGTCTGAGCTTGTCTTCAGAGGAGAAGTGTTTCAGACCTCTGACCATTTTCGTGGCCCTTCTCTGGACCCGCTCCAACGGGTCCCTGAATGTGTATCCAAACAAAGCTATTGTAATTTAAAGATACAATCTTTTTTTTTTTTTTTTAGATTTCATATTAGTTAATACTGGTTTTTATTTCTTAGGCATGTCTGAAGAGTGTTCTATTTCAGAACTTCAGTTAATTGTATTGTACTTCCATTAGTACCATTACAGGCTGGTAGGGGTAGGGAAATGACTGAATTACTCTTTTTCTCAGAAGACTGTACAATAACTTTCATTACCTGCATTCTCTCTTTTTTTTCTTTCTTTTATGGCTCTCTAAATAGTAGAATGTTTGCAGGAAAATTTTACTTTATATTAGCTTGTAAGGGGTCTGATAATGTCCCGATCACTAGTAGTAGCGCTGATGAATTGTTTTGTTGATAGTTATGTAACATCTTCTCATCAAATACTTCCACATACAGGTATATGCAGAAAAAGGCAAAACTGACCATTATATTGAAGTAACAGCTGAGTAACTCGCTAGTCACAGTATTCTGTGGGGTGGAAGTAAGTGCCACGTGATGTGTGTAGCACACTGGCACCACTGTTTGTTTACTTGACTTTATGCAGAGATGGATGTACGCAGAAATTCTCTCTGTAAGGTGATATTGAGTGGTGCTTTTTTGTGTGGTTACTAAAGTGATTAAGGATTTTTTTTGAATTTGCAAGCCTGAATATGTTTCTTCTTTGCATCTATGTGACAGTGCATTAAGAACTTGGTGATGGCTCTAAACAAACTGAAAACTGTAGCCGTTGCCTAATTGATCCCTGTGTTGGATCAAGCAACTATTTTTTGTTAATTTAAAAAAGTATTTTTGAGTTTTTCTTCACTAAAACTAATACTGTAAATGAAAAGTAGTGGATGAATATGAGAGATAGATAAGGTGCATGATATTTATAAAATTTAACAACTTGTAATAGTTTTTAATGTTTTTGTACTTGTTAGTACAGATTCCTTATTCTTCATACAAATCCTCTTCTTTTCCATTGCACAGATTGGCTTGTGTTAATTAATGGAAATAGTGACTACACACAGAACAATACCATATGAGTGGTATAAGGTTAGAATTTATGCATTGTTGTGCAGCTGCAACACTGAAGGAGGCATATTTTATGTGGGATTAATAAGTGAAATAACTCTGGAAACTAAAAGAGCCCCCAAACCCAGAAAAACAAATTTGTACTAAGAAGGTATGGGATTATCCATACTATCATTAGTACTTGTTATGTAAACTCTTCATTTTGTAATTTTAAATCTCTTCTATTGGATAGCTATTTTATTTTGAAGATTGCGAAAATGCCTCCAGAAATTAAAAACTGGAATGCTCTTTCCTTAAAATGTGACTTCATATGGAAGTTTTCTGTGCTACTGCTTATTGTTAATATGAGCTGCAGTTCAAAGGAACATTTAATGTTCATTTAATAAATTCTGCCATTTTTTTTCCCCATCTTAAAATGCACTCATGTTTAACAGATTCTCAACATACCACTCGAAATAGCAATATTTGGACATCAGCTGAAAAAATAAGTGGAATACCTTATGAGGGAGGAACATACATCATTCTTTTGTTTAGCAACTTACTTCAACAGATTTTGTTTTTGGGGGTACTTTTGTGTCGGAACTTTTTTTAAATTTTCATATACTCAACAGATTCTGAAGGAAGTGGTCATGGGAGTGAAGATGCATCAAAGGACAGTGGTGAAGGTTCCTGTACTGAATCAGAAGAAAATATCTTGGAGGAGGAAGCAGCAGAAGAGAAAGTACAAGAGCAGCAGCCAAAAAGCTCCACTGAAGAAGAAGTGCAAACAGCAGACAAAGAGGTAATTAAAACTGAAAAGAAAGAGCAAGAAGATGAAGAAGAAAAGCCAAAAAAGAAGAAAGAGAAAGCAACTGAACCTGATGCTGTGGCTGATGAACAAACAAATGAACCAAAAAAATGGAATTTGCGCAGGAACCGACCTTTATTGGATTTTGTATCGATGGAAGAACTAAATGATATGGATGACTATGACAGTGAAGATGACAATGACTGGCGGCCTACTGCTGAGAAGAGAAAAGGAAAAAATGCACTACGGAAAGAGGGGAGTGATGGAGATAATGAGGATGATGAAGATGATGGAAGTGGAAGTGATGAAGATGACAATGATGAGGAAGGTAATGAAGACAACAGCAGCACGGCTAGTGATGGAGGATCCAAGAAGAAGAAGAGTAAAGTTCTTAACAGGAATAATGCAGATGATGAGGAATTGACAAATGATAGCCTGGCTCTTTCACAAAGCAAGAGTAATGAGGTAGTGCAACCAACTTTCTATAATGTATCTGTTGAGAAATGGAAACTGCTCCCTGGTAGATATTCTGTTACTTTGAAAAGTTAAGCTGGTAGGCTGGAATTGTGTTTACAGGAATAAGCAAAGCAGCAAAGTTGTGCTAAATAGGCACTGCATATTAAATAACCTTGGTTGGACCATTTGGCCAATCTAATGCCACTAAAGTCAATACAAAGCTGCCAATTGACAGATTATTCTTTATCTTAGCCCCTTTTTTGTGACAAACATCGATGTCTGAACACTTAAGTTCACTGATAGAAGAATTCTAAGTTAAGAAATACACACACTGATGTTAAAATCAAATAGGATAATCATGATTTATGTTGGTTTTGCTTATAATGCTCACAAATTCAGTAGTTTCTTACAGGATTAAAAAGCATTTGGGAACACATATTAGATATCTGCTGATTGCAGAAACTGAAAATTTTACATTAAGTGTTTAATAATTCAATTTTTTTTTCCCTATGCACAGTTACAGTTGCCTAAAGGTTGTGCCTATGGAAAAATTAAGATATTAGGTTGACAGGATGGCTGACATCATGTCCTGCAGTAGCAAAATTCTGAACAAAGTAAAAAGAGTTGCTGTAAAATCTACACTCAATTTTCAGAAAGTAATTGCCATGTCAACGTAACATTTGATAAATGGTAGTGGTATGACACTGTTGTTTCATTCATCTTTATTTTAATGTGTAAAATGACAGGGAACTAAACAGAGCATTTGGAAGAATCAGTTATCCTCGTTTCAGATACCTTGTTATGTATTTTATATATATATATTTTTGAAATATGTGTGTGTATATATATATATATATTTTTTTAATTGTGAATGAGCTGTGCTGTTTTAATTACTAGTAATAATTGTGATTGGGGGAAAAAAAGCATAATTATGGAGCTTTTTCACATTTTTGTGTAGGCATCATCTTTCATTGTCTAGCTCTGTAGTCCTAGTGGTGTTACCATATTCTCTTGGCTCAGGAGCTGAAGGTGCTCTGCCAGTACTGATGATCAGAACTTCAAATAGAGATACAGGAAATTTTCTTACAGAGTTGTTCCCCATATCAGAATGGAGATGTCAGTCTACGTTCTTAGGGATATATTCTTGAATATGTCCGTAATTTCCATTGATTAGAAAATTATGGTTGTTTCAGAAACTCAGAGCTGTCTCTGATATATTTTTTGCAAAGGTTCTTAATATGCCTGGACCTCAGTGTCTGTTCTTGCCTGGGGTTTAAGACACTGATCAAAAGATAAAATCAAAATCTGAAAATTGGAAGTTCAAATTATAATTCTGTAACTGATAATTTGTCTTTATTGCATGTAAAGCAAAATACTGTTCATGATCAGCTCTTTAACAAGAAGTCTTGCAACAGTGAGTGTCTCCAAAATGGATTGTAGACTGCAATTTTTAGATTGATACTCAACTGTATTATAACAGTATACTCTTCACTACTATAATATTTTAAAATAGTAAAAAAAAATGCTGTCTCACAGAGAAGTCTAGCAAAATCTCGTTACAGTACAGAAACTGAGTTCTTAGAAAAACAGATGTCTGAATGCATAATTAATCTATGACGAATGTTCAGGTAATTAGCTCTGAACATGCAGTAGTGTCTTTAATATGCATTCTTCCTTTCCTTTACTTACTTTTTTGGGGGTGAATGTTGGGCAGCATGTTAGGTGTGAGTTGTCTGGTTTTTGTTTCTGTGTGATTTTTATTTTATTTTTCTACATTTTACGAAAATATTTTGTGGTCTGCATATACAGTATTTTATCCTGTGCTGTAATGATATATTATGTGCTTCTCTACTGTATTAAGCACAGAAGACAAGCTTAGCTTTCTTTTCTAGGGTCAAGTATCATTAGCAGATAAATGGTGCTTTTCTGTTTTTATAATTGCTGCCACTTTATAGGATTCTTCTATTCTCAGTGAGGTGGTTATTTTATTTTATTTTATTTTATTTTA